CCAGCGGGTAGACTAGCGAGCGCCCTCGTGAGTACCGACCCCCACCCCTTAGAGCCGCCTTCGCGCCCTCCTCCTCTCAGCTCTGGCGCCACCTCGCGGGCGACGCTGCTCGACACCACGAGACTCGAGCTCAGACTCCCCCGGTGCCCGAATGCGCACGACTGTTCTTAGGAGTTCTCTCCCCTTCGAACGTACGCCGTTCCCCGACAGCCCTCTGAGCGCTTTCGCAACGCAAGTGTGAGGTACAGCCCATGACTTCGCGCTCGCTCCTCGAGCTCCCTCCCCTCCCGAACGCGAACCCTCGTACGTAAAGGAAGAGCGCCTGGTCCGCTCCGAAAAGGACTCCTCGTACGCCCCCCATTCTCTTCTCCTATCTCCCTTTTATACTTCTCTCTCGTCCCTTTCCTCCCCTGGATCAATCCTCCACCGGCATCCTTCCTCCAATCATCGGCGCCCCCTTAGGCTACCCTTCGTGCTTCGAAATTTTCAACTTTCCCCTGCTTCCTCTTCCTTTCTTCAACCCATCTTCCCGCTCTACTCCTTTGTCGTTTTCGGTCTGAGTTTCTACCTTCCCGCCGCTCGATGGTAACTACCTTCCCTATTGCCTCGACGCCCTTCGAAGATCTTACCTCCCCTTTTTCTTCGCTTCCTCGATCGATTTTTTCCGCTCCGCTCCTTCACCCCCTTCCCCTCGGCCACGCGAAACGGTTGGATTTCAATTTTACCATCGCGATAAGTCGACCCCCTTGCAGTTCCCCCAGAATACCCCCCCCCCCTGCATTCTCCCTCTTCCAATTACGATTTTTCCGCTCCGCTCCGGCTCGCCTTGGCTCTTCAATCCGCAAGAAACGTTTGGAGTCCTTACTCCTCGCACGACACTAACCTCCCAGATCTCTTCCCGCCTTAGGCAGGTCTCCCGTCACTCTCTCCCTTCGTGCTTAGTCCGATCTTGCTCGTCGGAGAGCCTCGAGATACGCCTGCTCCCCGAATCCGTCTGCTAGTAGGTTATCAAGAAGCGAGGGGCGTGCTCGCCTTTTCTCACCCGTCTCCTTGGCTGGGTGACCAGCCTCCTCCTTTCTCCTCGGACACTCCCCGATTCCCCTCGCCTCTTGGTCAGCCAAAGGCCATCGTGCCGTGCATCTCGTACCGTGAGGAGCCCGGCGCTCCGGCTTCCCTGCTTCTTCACCAGCATTCACCCCCACCTATCTCCCCCCTTTTCCGCAGGGATCTTCTCGTTGGGCAGTTGGAGTTACTCCCTGTCCAGACGCATCGACTCCTCTGTTTTTCATCATCCTGCCAGCCCCTCCCCTCTCCGTCTTCTTTTCTTTCCCCCCCTTCGGTTCCCTCTTGGTCCCGCCTGATTAATACAGTCCTGTCTCGCGAGGCATCTCCCCGCTTCCAATCTCAGCTGTGGTCGTGCAACACTCCCTCTGTTTTTATTTTTTCTCCCTTCCACTTTCGGGCCCACTTCTCTTTTCGAGCCGGCCACCTCTTCTTAGTCTCTGCAGTGACTGTCCTTCAGCCGCAACCGAGCATGGATCAAAGAATCACGATTTGTGTGGCATTGGACCGATCACCCGCCGCTCTCGCTCGAACCCCCGTCGACGGCGCCCCTTCCGACGCGCGCGTGCCTGCTTTCTCCAAGGCTATCCGGTGATTGAGCTCTTTCTAAGGACACCTCCACGTTTTCGTTGTAGCACATCGGTAGGCCATACTGGGAATACGAGCAACCTCAGACCCCCATGCCGCGCGTTTCCTAGTGGCTCGACCGCTCTGTCCTGGTATTTTAAAAAAACGCTCCGGATACTCTGACTTCCGCTGTCCGTGCGGCACCGCTTTTGCCTTGCGCCGATGGGCCCCATCGAGCTTTCACCAACATCAGTATAAGGAGAAAAAACCCATGTCCCCCAAACATCCTTCAATCATCATGCACTCAATCAAAAAAAACACACGAAACCAATCAAAAGAGGAAACAAACACTCATTTTGATTTCTAAAGAGATCTTTCGGCTGGTAGCCAGCCGCCTGACAATGGTCATACCTCCTCGCAGTGCCCTTAAACCGCCGCCCTCGACCGCCACTTCGTTGAGCTCTCTCGCCAACGTCGTGGTCAGTCCCCCCTCGGCACCTCACATCCCCGCGGCGCCTCCTAGCTACGGTGCAGTGTACACCTGCGTCCTCCTCAACAATCGGCTTCCCGACATCTCCGTCGCGGTTTGCCCCTCTCGCTACTGGAGTTGAGGTATCGCAGGGCCCGACAGAGTGTACTCCGCCCTCTGTCGCAGTATCGTCTGCGTCTCCACAGACCACCGTCTCCCCTCCTACCTCTTCGCGACTACCGACGCGTCGAGCCATTCGCTCAGCCCGTTGCAGCGAGCAGCTTGCGACTCACGAGGATGTTGTGTCCTCTCTTCTGGACTTAAGCATGCTCCAGGCTCGTCGGGAGCGACTCACCCTTCATGTCGCTGCACTGCATCGCCTTCGCACCCTCCTGACCATTCTAGTACGACTTGGGACCTCCACGAGGGTGTACTCAGCGTTGTGGGATTTCGGTTCTCAGGATGACTTCATTCACACACGTGTGGTGTAAGAAGCCCGCTTACCCACGATAGGGTCCCTGACTCCCATCTCCGTCACCCTAGGGAATGACAAGACCCAACGCTTATTCGATCAGACGGTCACCGACCTCCCTTTCTTCCTCACTCTGGAGCGGACTGATCGTACCCTGGCGTCTCGTCGCCACCGCTCCTCTGCACATTTTGATGTGAAGGAGACGGGGTACGATTTCATTCTCGGTACTCCGTGGTCTCGTCGGTTCCCTAACACCGAAGCCTATTGGGCGACCAACACTCTCGTTCTCAAAACGAAGTGTGGACAAACGTATCGCGTACCTTTTATAGGTACCATTGTGACACGACGCCCCGATCCTCCCCCCCGGAGCCTTCCATGCCCACATCATCTCCTACTATCACCGTCACCTCGCCTCGGCAGTTCGCCCACTTCATTCAACAGAACGACGTCACCTCCTTTACGGTGAACGTTACGGATCTCTTGCACTATGATCCACCCTGTCCAGACGTCGAGATCATCTCTTTGGAGCCAGATTCTCCTTCTATCTACATGGCTTCCATCTCTACGTCCCCCCCTCCGCCGTCCATCGAGTCCACCCCGACGTCGCGCGCTGACGCCGACGCTGAGGAACTCGCACGCTATACGACCGACCTGGAGCCCGCAGTTCGTGACCTCATTCGAGAGTACCACGACGTTTTCCCATCGCTTTACGCCAGCATCCCACCGATGCGCGACGTCGAGCACTCCATCGAGCTTGTGCCAGACTATCGTGTTCACCACCAGGCACCCTACAGACTCTCGATCCCCGAGGCCACCGAACTCGAGCGTCAGCTTGAGGAGCTCCTGAGACTGGGTTTCATTAAACCCAGCAACTCCCCGTGGGGTGCACCCGTCCTCTTTGCTCGCAAAGTGGATGAAACTCTTCGTCTCTGCATCGACTATCGCGGTTTCAACCACTACACGGTTAAGAACAACTACCCTATGCCTCGTTCCAACGAGTTGTTCGACCGCCTAGCAGGCAACCGCTTCTTTACGAAGATTGATCTTCGTAGCGGTTACCATCAGATTCGCGTCGCTGCAGCGGACCAGCCGAAGACAACGTTCCGATCGCACTTCGGCCTCTATGAGTTTATGGTGATGCCAAACTCTTCGTCTCTGCATCGACTATTGCGGTTTCAACCGCTACACGGTTAAGAACAACTACCCTATGCCTCGTTCCAACGAGTTGTTCGACCGCCTAGCAGGCAACCGCTTCTTTACAAAGATTGATCTTCGTAGCGGTTACCATCAGATTCGTGTCGCTGTAGCGGACCAGCCGAAGACAACGTTCCGATCGCACTTCGGCCTCTATGAGTTTATGGTGATGCCATTCGGCCTCACCAACGCACCCGCTACCTTCCAGAGGGCGATGAACCACATCTTCAGGGACATCCTGGAGCAATACGTTCTCGTCTACCGCGACGATATCCTAATCTACAGTCGTACCCTTGAGGAGCATCTCAAACACCTCCGCGGCGTCCTTGACCGCTTGCGCAGGCATGACTTCTACGCCAAGTTGAGCAAGTGCCACTTTGCCTAACACAAAGTGGATTTCTTAGGACACTACGTGTCTGACCAGGGTCTCCACATGGACGACGCGAAAATCACTGCTATTGCGGAGTGGCCCGTCCCCACATCCGCCAAGCAGCTTTGCAGATTCTTAGGCCTCACTAGTTACTATAGTAACTTCATCCAGGGATACGCTAGGTATTCCTACGTCCTTACCTCGACCCTCCTTCGGAAGAAACAACTATGGGTTGGGACACCCCTCCACGAGGACGCCTTCCGCGACCTCATGAAGGCGGTGACATGTGCACCGGTTCTCCACCTACCTGATTTTGATCGCCCTTTTATCCTTACCACCGACGCGTCAGACTTTGCTGTAGGAGCTGTGCTTTCTCAAATTTTCCCCTCCTCCCCCGATTCCTCTCATCCTTGCATCCCTCGCTTCCCACCTCCTACCCCCTACCATTGCTTCCTGCCTGACGCCTACTCATCCAGCTACTTACGAGCCTTTTATTGACTATTCTCCTACCATCGCCGAGGACGGCACYGTCGAGTCTCGCTCAGGTGATTGTCCGATAGCCTTCTACTCCCGCCAGCTCCTGCCCGCCGAGATAAACTACACTGCTGATGAACGTGAGGTTCTCGTAGTAGTTTATGCCACTCGACACTGGCGTCGCTACCTGCACGGGGCACCATTCATGGTGCGCACGGACAACTCTGTTGTCCAGGCTTTTCTGACAAAGCCGAAGCTCACTCCTCGACAGGCTCGCTGGTGGCGCGACCTATCCGAGTTTAGTTTCACCACTGAGCACATCGAGGGTGAGACTAATCGGGTTGCAGATGCCTCATCCTGGTGCCCTGACTCTGGAGCAGATTCAGCTGCTGCCATCTCGGTCACTACCGTCCACCACTTGGTGATCGACGAGTTTCGCACTCAGTACCACCACTGCCCCGACTATCACGACATTCATGTGCCCCTTCGGAGTGGCAAGACCATCCCAAACTACTCTCGTGGGGACAACAGTCTCGTGTACTGGCACAGTTCACAAGGCACCAACGAGCCCCGTATTTGTGTTCCCTCCATTGGACAGCTACGTGTCCGAGCAGTAGCAGAGTTCCATGATCAGGCAGCCGCCGGTCAAATGGGCTTCCACAGGACGTTGGCTCGTGTGAGTTGCCTGTACGTCTGGCCGAAGCGCAAGGACTATGTGAAGGACTACGTCGCAGAGTGTCCCACTTGTCAGGAGGTGAACAGTGCGAACCACCTTCCTTATGGTTTGCTCCAACCTCTTCCTATCCCTGAGGGTCGTTGGCAGTCCATCTCGATGGACTTTATCGGTCCTCTTCGTCCTCCGAACCCCTGCGGTCATGATGCTATCCTGGTCGTCGTCGACCGCTTCATGAAATGAGCACACTTTGTTCCGTGCCGCTATGCCATTAGTGCACGTGAGGTCACCGACATTGTGTTTGACCGAGTTGTGCGTGACCGCGGCTTACCTCTGGAAATCATATTTGACAGTGACCCGCGCTTTACCAGCCGATTCTGGCGACGGTTCCACGAGGTGTACAACACCCAGCTCCGCTTCTCCTCGTCTTACCATCCCCAGACTAATGGTCAGACCGAGGTCACAAACAAGACTCTCAGGGATATTGGCCTAAAGATTGTTCGTGACGACCAACAGTGGGATCTCCATCTTGCCTATACGGAGATAGCCTACAACCATGCCGTTTCGCCAGCCACGGGGATGTTGCCTTACTACTGCGACCTCGACTGTCAGCCTCGTGTTCCCGCAGACTTCCTTCGACCGTCACAAATGCACCCCGACACGAGTTGTCCTGCTAGATGATTGGGTTGCACACATGACGTCGATTATGAAGACCGCACATGAGCACATAGCCGCCTCCCAGACTCGCATGGCCGCACGTGCGAACCGATCGAGGATGGATTATCCATTCAAAGTCAGTGATGATGTGCTTGTCGACGCCCGCCACTTACAGTTCGAAACGGACACGCTTCGCAAGTTCCGATATCGCTTCTTTGGCCCATGTCGCATTCTCCAGGCCGTCGGTTCTGATACGGCTTCTAGCCCGGTCAACTTTTGTGTGAAGCTGCCCGACTACTTGCGCCAGGCTCGTGTGCACGATGTCTACCATGTTTCGTTACTGCGTCCCTACCGCAGACCATCTGAAAGTTTCGCTGGACGACCATACGAGCTCCCTCCACCCATCATGGTGGACGGCCACCAGGAGTTCCTCGTTTCAGACATCATTGGTCGCCGAGTCACCGACGACAACCCTCCCCACGTCGAGTATCTCGTACGTTGGAAGGGTTACCCTGATGAGGAGGCTACGTGGGAGCCCCTCGAGCACTTGCAGCACGCTCGCATGTTGGTACGTGCCTATGACCGTGCTCGTCGTGTTGGGTTAACTGCTCCTCCTCAACCCACTGACCCTCTTCCTTCTCCCCCGGTTGAGGAGACCGCTGAAGTCGAGCCTGCTCCATCTAAGGCAGACCTTCAGCAGCAGCCGGATGCTTCTGAGCGTCCACAGCACACTCGTCGTCGTCCTGCTCGATACGACAATTGAATCTGACTTATCTTCCCATGTCCTTGACTTCTCAATACTCCATCCACTCCAGTTCTGGCATTTCAGCTCATCGACGTTACGACTCTTCCTCGACGGCATTCCGAACTTCTCATCATGGACATCATCGGCAGCTTCATGGACTTCGTCACGATCAACTCTGCCTACTTCAGACGTCGTCACTCTCTTACCACTTTACCCTGTATAGTACCCTGGTTGTGTCGCATGATGGTCTCCCTTCGCCAGGTTCCTCGGAGTTGGGCTCTCCCTTGGTATATGCATAGGCATCGGGACCGTAGCGTTGCCTTGGCTTCCCAGCTTACGGATTTAGCTCCGACTTCCCTCACTTTAGAAGTCGTTTGGATGATTCCCTTACGAATCACTTTTTCTACCCTCTAACGGCCCTCACGCCCTAGTTAGGCAGCCTTGCATGCTTCATCTAGGTGTGCCAGTATACCAGGCTCCCTTAGTCCCCTGCATAGTCGACCCTCCATAGCGGTCACCCCTTTAGTCGAGCATTACCCGCCCTGATGGTCTATCTGTTAGGGTCATTGGTTCTGTTCGCTCCCAGTTCCCTACCCTCATTGAGCGTGATGACATGTGCCTCCCTGTCATTATATGTGGATGCCCTTAGGAGTTTATCGACCCCTAGGATGCATTCACCACCCTCAGAGACCATCCCATCCTTTGGTTGCGACACACTCCTCCTGTGACATATGGTTGTCTTGTTGTTGCTTTGTTGCTCTCAGATTGAGGCTACTGCCTCTAACATTTCTAGGATTTAGTTGTTTTTGCTTTTGCTGTTCTTACGACTTATACACTAGTCAATTGTTTCCAGACTGAGGCTACTGCCTCCAACATTCTAGGATTTAGTTGTCATTACTTTATGCTTTCCTAGGACATGTATACTAGTTAGTTGCTTCTGCTTTCACTTAGGCTGTTAGCTGTGACATTGCTGTCTTTTGTGACATTTTCTATCCTAGGTTGCATTGCATGGACTCAGCATGGAGCTTGCTCCGCATCCTAGACTACTCGGGTTTTCTTTTTCTTGGTAGAGTTCCGCTTCTTGGCGGAAGTGTGCTTGTATCTAGGCGATCCATCACAGGCCGAGGATCGTGTAACAGACATGTGGTTAGCCTGTGAGACCAGCCCCTTGGCCTGTTCTCACAGGCCTGTGTTGTATTCGAGGTAATCCAGTCCAGGCCGGTACCTCTGTCGGTACCAGCCAGGCCAGTCCAATCCAGTCAGTTCGCTGGGGTATACCCCAGTCAGAGTTTGTATTTCGGATCATTTTGCATTCGCACAATTTGGAGTACGTGCGTTGGAGTCTCGCGTGGGAGTTGCGTTGTGCCATCTTGCTCCACTCTCATCCTCCATCTCCATCTCTATCCCAGGCGGAGCACCACACCTGGTGGGTCCGCCACAAGCGTGCTAATTTATCATTTAACTCTCCCTGGGACTTCATCCACCGCAGAGTGGAATGATCTGAGAAGATCTTGAAGTGTCTGCCCAGGAGAAAGTGCTTCCAATGCTTTAGCGCGCATGCCAGAGCATATAGCTCTTTCTCGTAGGTAGTGGGTTTCGGTATTCTTACTCATAAACTCAATGGGCCGCAGACCATTCCGATCATCCTGCTGAAGAACTACCCCAATGCCATACTGACTAGCGTCAGTGGTCAGGATAAAAGGCAAAGTGGGGTCAGGTAACTTCAACACTGGTGCACGAGTCAAGGCCTTCTTGATTCATGTGAAGGCCAACTGACAAGGAAGGGACCAAAGAAAAGGAGTGTCCTTCTTTATTAGGTTAGTCAGGGGTGCAGCCACTGCAGAAAAGTTCCTGACAATCTTTTTGTAGGATGAGGCCAAACCCATGAACGACCGTACATCCCGCATTGTCTGTGGCTGTGGCCAATCCTGAATAGCCGCAACCTTGTCGGCTTCAGATGCCAGACCATTTCCAAATATCACATTACCAAGGTAGATGACAAAGGGACTCCAAAGGATGATTTCTCTCTGTTAATCTTGTATTGGGTGTCATGTAACGCTTGAAGAACCAGAGCTAGGTGCTCCGCATGTTCCCTGGCAGTTCGATTGAATATCAAAATATCATCTAAGTAGACAACCATGAACTTATCCAGGTAAGGCCTGAAAATGCGGTGCATCTCAGTCTGGAAAGTGCCCGGGGCATTGCAAAGTCCAAACAACATTACCAGGTATTCATAGGTGCTATACCTGGTTTTGAAGGTTGTCTTATGGACATCCTCCTCTGCCATCGCAATCTGGTGATAGCCAGATTTGAGGTCGACTTTGCTGAATAGTGTGCAACCGTGCACCATATCCAGAAGGTCATCAATACGAGGTAGAGGCTTTGTACTCTTCCTCGTAATCTTGTTGAGACCCCTGCAGTCTCTGCACATTCGGAATTCCCCATTCCCTTTGGGGACAAAGAAAACAGGTGCACCAAACTCAGATGTGCTAGGTCTGATCCAGCCTTTGCTGGTCAGGGTCTCAAGCTGGTTTCTGAGCTCCCTAAGCTCAGCAGGGGACATCTTGTAGATGTGGCCCTTTGGAGGGACTGCTCCAGGCAACAACTCGATGTGATGCTTGGTTGGCCGGTGGGGTAACCCAACTGGCTCCTGCATCAGATCGGCATACAAGTCCACAACCTGCTGGACTTCAGGAGGACAGGGAGTAGCTGTAGCGTTTGTTTGCTTGAAAAGGGCCAAAAACAGATGCTCATGGTCAGGGTCTCAAGCTGGTTTCTGAGCTCCTCAAGCTCAGCAGGGGACATCCTGTAGATGCGGCCCTTTGGAGGGACCGCTCCAGGCAACAACTCGATGTGATGCTTGGTTGGCTGGTGGGGTAACCCAACTGGCTCCTGCATCAGATCGGCATACAGGTCCACAACCTGCTGGACTTTAGGAGGACAGGGAGTAGCTGTAGCGTTTGTTTGCTTGAAAAGGGCCGAAAACAAATGCTCATGGTCATACTGGCGGGAGAGKGTATAAAACTCCCTCGCTCGTATACAGTAGCAAGAGGTCTTGGGGTGGTGTTCAACAACAATCATGCATGGCTGATACACCCCCTGCATATTGGGGCATTCAACCTTAGGACGCTGCCAGCCGATCCTAGGGTTGACTGCCCGTAGCCGCTGCATAGAGAAGACCAAATCAAAGCGAAGATAAGGGAAAATGTAGAAGTTCAGACTAGGTCTGACTTCTCCAGCAGTATCGAAGGTAACAGGGATGCCCCTGACCTTCTCCCTGATAGTGAGGATAGGGGAGTCCCCTATCCGGACCTGCAGTGGTTGCTGCAGTGTCTCTACCTTTAGACCCGGATGCAGTTTCTTAATTGCATTCGGTGATATAAAGTTGTGGGTGGCTCCACAATCCAACAAACCCTTGATTCTGGTGTGGTTGATCAGGGGCTGAAGTAGGATGAGTTGAGATTTGGTTTTCTGCTGTTCCTTCAAATGGAGGAAGAGGGAAGCAAACATCTGAGCCTCATGCTCACCCAGTTCCTGATCCGGGTCAGGATCCTGATAACAGTAGGATGCTGCCCGCACAACTCCAACACAGGGCCTATTTACTGAAGCAGTTGCAGATTCACCTTCTTCAGAAGATGAGTTTGCAGCACTAGGGGGAGCTGCTGCCCCTAGGGTCTGCTTCAGTTTTTAGGCTGTGACCCAAGGCTTGGCATGTAAGGGCGAACCTTCAGGTAGTGTTGTCCCTCACATCGCAGGCAGACCCCCCTATCCTTCCTCCTCCACCACACCCCTTCCTGGATCCTGAGATCATGTCGGAGAAGGGTGGAAGGGTTCAGGGGGTCAGCTGGCATACGGACGTCCCTGGGCAGGTTAGGTCTTTGGGCAGGGGTAAAAGGACAACATCCCTTGACCTTCCCCTTGCTGCTGGTTGAGGCTGTGCTGGAGGGGGTTTTCTTTTGTAAAACCGCCAGTACAACCTCAGTCAGGGTCGCAACAACTTTTGTATCAGCAGGTGATGCAGTCCCAGCCGGTGGTGAAACAACCTGGGAATCTGAATCACTTGCTGATCCAGAACCTGCATGTGCAAAAGCAGCCTTTCCCTTCTTTCCACCACGAGGGAAGGTTATCTTCCTCCTATCAGAGGAGGGGGTCTGGACATGGAGTTTTGCCTCCATATCCAGCGCTGTGCGGCCAAAGGATCTCCAGTCCTTGAGCCCTGAGCTGTGCAATGCTGCAGCGAACTTCTCGGGCGCTGCCCTGCAAAAGTTAGTCATCAGATCATCATTAGACATGACTAACCCAAGGGTGGAGGTGAGCTGCTCGAACTCTGCAAACAAGGAGTGAAGAGACCGTGTATACCGCTGCTGTCCCAGGCGAGCAATCCTGTCAGAAGCCTTCCTGGCTCGCTCCTTGTCTCCGAATCTGTCCTCCAGGGCCTGGAGAAGCCCGTCCACTCTCAACCCAAAAGCCCAATCTTCCAGCCTCTTGTCCTGGCTGCTGGAGGTGGAGGTGGCCCACGTCAAGGAGGGCCCCTCCAACAAGCCCAGGACAATAGAGACCTTTGTCTCTTTAGGACAGGTGAAGCCTCTCAGGTAGGCTCTTGCACCAGCAGCCCAGTCTCCAACATCCACTTTGGGATTATCTCCTTTGAACTTGTTGGGGGCTGGGATCTTGGGAAAGATCCGCTGATCACCTGCTAGAGGGACAGTGGTCACTGGGACTGCTGTTTTGGGGGGAGGAGATGGTGGAGGGGAAGAATGTCTGGAACTAGTAGGGTGAGAAGGAGGAGGAGAGGGTTTGAGAGGTTTGGGAGATTGAGGGGAGGAAACAACAATATCAGCAGCTGTCAACTGAGCAACCAAAGATTCTATTGTTGTCAGAATCTTTGTTTGTTGAGCTGCCAGATCATCAACACAACGTCCTAGCCATGCCATCCGGTCATCCCAGTTAGTGAAATAAGTAGTGGTGGCTTTGTGGTCCAGTCGGATCCACTCTGTCATATGCTTATTCACTTCTGAGGACCGACCATCTGTCTCTATCTTGGCCAGCTGCTCCAACAGATACGTCCTGCGGGACGCATCTGTTGCAGCTTCCACCTCAGCTGCCTCCTGCCTCTCTAACTCTGCCAGCAAATCCTGCTGCTGCTGCAACTTCTCCTTCGTCTCTTGGACACGTCGCTAAGTCGCGGTCATAGGAGCAGCGGGGCTTGAGGATTGTGATTCCTCTTTCACCACCTGTCCCTGTGGCTGCGACTTTGCACCCTGCTCAGACATTTTTCTCCCTTCAAAACAATAAGTTAGTTGAACAGCAAACATAGAGTATGCAGCGATTCTCAAACTTCCTACAGACACACTGAGAACCCTGCTATCTATGACACAGTAGTAGGTGGTCGAGTAGGCAACAGGCGATTTGGGTTAGAAGCCTTCTCTGGAGGCTAGGTGTCAGGCAGACATACAGTCCAACAAAACCAAACTCCCGATTTGCTTTTGACTGACACCGAACCACACTGGAGTTAGTACTGTCAATTCCAGCCTTTCACAAAGAGGTCACTAAAGTTCCAGTGCCCACTTGAGAACAAGAGCAAACAGTAGGAGTGATGCAAAAGGTAAGTATAGACAAGCACAGATCAACAAGAGTTAGCGATTTAGTCATCAGACATCTCCCCAGACCCAGACTCAAATTTCGCAACAGATGACTCCGGCGACCATACCCAAAGGTATGGCGGATTACAATTTTCACTGTATCTACGCGATTACTGCTAAACTAAGCAAGCACTCTTGCCCAGATGACAACAACAGAATTGCGCTTCACTAGAAACAGACAGAATCGAATTCTGATGGACAGAGTTGTAACTATCACTAACCCTAGGTAGCACAAGCTATATATAGACTCGACGCAAAATTACAATCCACAGTATCACTACTTTTCCAGGACATAATTCACAATCTAAGCATGCCGTACCTAGCACAATACTGTCAAGCATTTACACAACAATTTCGAGCCAGAAAGAGTCAACAGATGGAAAGATATGAGAAACAGAAAATGGGGAAGAAGATGGCTACGGCTGCCAGGCTGTCAGGCAAATCTATTTTTGGACCTAGACTGACAGATAGACCATCAATTCGGACTATACTGATTCTAAATAATTCGTTATACTGAGTACTGCTTGGAACATACTCACATCAGAGAGTTCTTGCCGATGAGGATGAAGCTTTGGCTATGGCAGACAATATGCCCCTTCTCGCCACTTTGCTTCAGAGACCGCTCCTCCAATCTCCACGCACCGAAACTCACCAAACTTGTTGATCCTGCAGAGGACACTGAGGCGCTTCAGTCCTTGATGCTAGATTCACTAAATCTAGCCTGGAGCATTCGGACCATGAGGAGACGGTAATTCGTCACTTTCTCCCTGGTCCGCTGACACAGGAAATGGCCCCACAGCTAAGGTCAACACAGTGCCGGGTTGACTCTGTCAGTCAATCCTAATCAGCACTACCCTGTGATGAACCCGCCACTCAGTTCCCCAGGGTCCTCAGGGGTATTTCGCCACTCAGAGCCAAATCGTGATTTTGGCTCTAGTACCAATACTGGCGAGATAACCCTGTTAGGCGCCCTGGCCAGATACTGCGCCTGATCAATCCAATCACTGATCTCTTAAAGTCACCGTCTGTATCTCTTCTTCTCGCCTGCTTCAATACCGAAGAAGAAGAACCGCCATGGATCTCTCTCCGGAAGATCACCAGAAGAAGAAGATGCCCCAATCGCACTCAACCCTCAGAACGTCAGCTCCTTTCTCGCTCTGGTACCAACTGTTATGAACTTGGTTGTCTATCGATTTTCACCAACACTCACACGCAGACAATCTCACGCACGCCCATACATGCATAAGAAGAAGGGGAGAGGAGACAGAGTACACACTGCACACAAACAGAGTAAGCAGCGGAAAAGCACTATGCACATGTGTGGAGATAACACTAAGTGTTTCCCACTCTCTAACATTACTCCCAACAACCAATCACAAGTAGACGCCCGCGAGGATAACACGGGAACAATCTGAGATTGAGCTGATCTGAACCAATATCGTTACAGAGTTTGTCCAACTCGCCACTCACAGAACCACACACTCCACTCCCTACTACACCCAGTTAGTAGCGCCACACGACATCAGCCTCCAGAGGCCAGCGCCAACCACCCAGATGAAGAACAGGAACTGCGATGTAATCCTCAGTGCCGATGAGCAACTCTGACGAAGAAAGCTGCAGCTATGGCTGCAGCGCCACTATAGATGCCACGCACGATCTTAGAGGAAGATGCAGCAACAGTGGTCCACCCACGAATACCATGTAGAGCCTCAGAATAGCCCAGCCGCTCGCAAGCACCCCCTGGGGTGGATGCTCAGAGGACGCCCCAGCTATGGCGAGCTCCAAAAGGCTGGCTATGGCTGCCGCCCACGACGAAGGTCTCAGGATGCCGCCTGAAGGCAATCGTCTCCACCGCACTTGCTTGGCTCAGAACGCTGTCCCACGAACACTGTAAACTGCCAAAAGTCCTAACCCTAGCGACCTAGATCTATTAATAGACTAACCTAGACCTACCGGTACCGTTTCAGTTTGGGCCTCTAGGGCCTCCACCTACCCGGCTATAGGCTGTCATGCTATGGGCCTAGGCCCTAGGGCCTCCCGTCCTGGTGAAAGCCCGGGCCTGCTATTCGCAGTGCGGTCTAAGGGAATTGCGGGCCTGTAATTTCCCGAAATTGCAGATATGTCCCTCACGAATTTCCCTCAGCACTGAACTCTCGGTTAGTCCTTGACACAAACAACATTACGAATCTAACCCTACTGCTGTTACTGTACAGCCTCGCAGTCAGATCTCGGCAGTCAAAATCAGCAAGTCTTTGCAACCTGTTGCAGCCGCTGAAGACCGGTTCTCTCACCTATGCTGGATCTTATCAAGACCTCCGAAGACCTTCCTCAAGACATTTTTCGCATTTTGACACTTCGTTACAGACCTGAGACTTTGTTTTCCCCAGATTCCTCAGACACCCCAGACCTTGAGCATTGAACAAACTATTTTTATTTTTATTTTTCTCAAACCCGACAACCTATAGCCTTGTAGAACATCAATAGGAATCCCCTGTTACTTGTATAACCTCAATAGGATCACCCTGTTACTTGAACATTGTTACCCTCAACCTTGTAGAATTTCAATAGGATTACCCTGTTACCAAAACATTGCTACCCTCACCCTTGTAGAACCTCAATACGATTACCCTGTTACTTGAGCATTGATTCCCTCATACCCGTAGAACATCAATAGTATTGCCCTGTTACCTGTTACTTCAACCTTGTAGCACCTCAACTACCCTGTTACCTGAAATTGATACCTTCACACTTGTAGAACATCAGTAAGATTACCCCGTTACTTGCATTACTCCCCCTTTCCTTTTCTGACCAGTAATCAGCCCTGTCCTGTCCTTCACGGTTGTTCATCAGGTCTTTGGCAGCCGGGGCATTGCCTTCCAGAGGGAGGGGATAGTGTTACGGACTCAGCCAGGGCTCGATCCCTGGTCTGCGGGTTACCACCCGCCAGGCTGGTATTTCATTTTTGGGTCTCTGTTCTCATCCCCCTGACTGTTGGCAACCTCTGCAGTTGGCGCCCGTCCTCAAATTCCTCTTTTGGCACTTTCGGATTTCGATACTTGGCGCGATCCGGCATTCTGGTGTCCAGACTCAGACCTTCAATTTTCAGTTCAACCCTGAGGCAATTTGCACTTCTGCCCTCGGGACTGAACTGGAGTCCAGTACTTAAGACCGGATTCAAGCCCAGCACAGGCAACCAGTTTCCAGCACAGGCAACCCGTTTTCAGCCTCATTGCTTGTGTTCAGTGTGACTATGCTTCGGCATTGTGTTCAGGAATCCAAGACTGCCACTTTGCAACTTTGCCACTTTGTGTCTGCGTCTGTCGAGTCGTGTCGAGTCTGCGTAGAGTTGAGCGAGGGTGTGTGTGTGCTCTCACTCTCCCTCCCTCTCCCAGCCTTGTTGCCCTGTCTCTGTCTTGTTACACACACACACACGAGAGAGAGAGAGACAGAGAGAGACAGAGAGAGAGAG